AGTTCAAAATTAAAGAAGCGACTCGATCGAAATCCGCGTCGCAGTGGCCGAAAAATGGCTCGTGAGCTGAACATTTCCATTCGGCAAAAAATTAAAAATGAACTGGAGGTAAAGCCATTGAAATTCCAAGAACTTACACCGCAACAGAAAGAAAATAGACTCATAAGAGCTGAAGAGTTGCTTAGCTTGGCCGAAAGTGGTGAACTGCCGAATTTGGTTTTCTCCGAAGAGGAAACATTTGTTATCCAGCAGTTTGTAAACAAACAAAATTATCGTATTACTTGCCAAAGAGGTCAGCTGAAAATGTGCACCTTCGGTTGGCTGCCAGAACTCAAGCGACGGGCATGGTGATGGTATGGGCAGCCATAACAGCTGATGGTCGCTCTCCGCTCTTATTAATCTACCATGGCATCAGAATAAATGCCGAATATTATAGCGAAAATATTCTGGAGGGTGTAGTAAAGCCTTGGGCACGCAAAGATTTTGGCCGCAGACCTCGGACATTCCAAAAGGACTCAGCACCATCGCACTCAGCACGCGCCACCCAATAATTGTTACAAAATGAGATTGTTCGCTTCGTTTCCAACGCACAATGACCACCAAGTTCTCCTGATACCAGTCCTTTGTACTATTGTGTCTGGTGAATTTTGGAAAGCAAGGTTGGCACGACGTGTCGATCACCTGAAGCAAGCGCTTCGCCGGGAATGGGCCGAAATACCGCAGACCATCATCCAGGCAGCGTGTAATGGTTTCATTGGCCATAATTCGTGCCAAAAGTGATCAATTCGAACAAATCGAAACTTATTTCTTTCTATTTGATGATATTTCCGATATTTTTTGCTTTCATTCAATAAAATTAAAAAATGTAAAACTTATGAAGTTTGACTTTGGTGCTGTTTTTTATGTCACCCTGTATATTCCTAAGCAAATAAAAAAAGAGATATTTTCATATTGATGTGTTATTCATAATTTATTTATAAATTTTATATATTTTTTCACATTTCTTTTTATAATTTTACAGTAATGTTTAATGTATATACATATTTGAAGAAAAGTCAATAAATGTTATACTATTGTTTTATTATTTATTTATTTTTTTTTTTTTTTGTTATATTTTTGATAGGACTTTCAATTAATAATTGTTACGTTAACAATGACATACATGTATATAATTACATACAATTTATATTCTTACAATTTAAAAATTATTTACTATAATATACAGATGTTGTTATCACAGTTTTTAATATGGGGTTTGTATACATCGTTATTTATATATTAATTGTGTTTAATTATATTTGTATTATTTAAGCAAAATCAAATATATAATTATCTTAAGTAGGAAGTTAAGGAAGAAGAAATGATAATTGTTTTAATGTTTAATTAAGTTTAAATATAATTATATTAAGTGTGTTTGTTTTGTTGCTAATTAAGTACGATTTTTCTTTGTTTTTGTATTTACCTTTGCCTGATCCATATCTGCCTTTTGGGTTTTATTTGTCAAATGATTAATAAGCCATTGCTGTATGTAGGTAAGATTGTGTTCGGCTGTAATGTCAAGACGTTGCCATGTATTAATATAAACAATCATACGTACATATGTGTTTGTATTTTTTGTCGATTTTGCCAGCTTATTTGCTTTTGATAGCCTGCTATTAAGTTGTAGTCAAGCTTAAACTGTTTGTAATGAAAAATTGGAAAGAGTGACTGTTTTATTTATGACCAACAAAAATTAAGTGTCTTTTTTAAGTAGATTTTTTATGGTTGATATAATAAATTATACGAAGAGATATATTAGTCAAACAATGTGTTTATTTGTGTGTGTGGCGGGGCAAATATTCAAACAAGCAGTCACATAGCTGTACATTCATTCATAAAAAGCTTGTTCTTACGGTTTGCTTTTGGAAAAATTACATTCCCCGATTAAGCGTTAAAAACTCGTAACGCGTCTTAAATTGTTAAGCGGGTTTTACACAATTATACCCTTCTTGTTGTTGTTTGATCTTGGCTGGTATTTTAACCGTGTGCCAGCCTCATTACTCAAATGTTAACTAATTTCCCAGACATTCAATTTTATTGTGTCTTTTTATGCGTTAAACTATCACCTGCTGTTGCCGCATTCTATGGTTCCCTTATTATCGGCTACCCCATTAGGTGCATTTATGTAGGTTTCTACAAATAATGCAATTACTTAATTACAAATTTGCAGGGACATAAAAAACAAGGTATTTCGGCTAGTTGCTAAAGAAACCCCATTCGACCCATTGTTATTTTTTATTGAAGTATGATTAAAGTGTTTTTATAAATGGAAGCATGAATAAAAACGAGTAAAGAACAAGTCATAAATTGTTTTTTTTTAATACATATATTTCTTTAGTAAAGTTTTTAATGTTTTTTCTTATATCTACATTTTAACAAACATTGATTTTTATGACTACTTATGATAACTATATACAATGGATATTTATGTTTATATAATTTACATGATATTTTTAATAAAGTATTGATAATTTATTATTGAAGATGCACTTGATAGTGCTATTGCATTCATTTAAGTATGTTTCACTTTACGTTAAGAAATGTTCCACCATATTGTTGGTGTGAAGGATTTGTTTTGAAGAAAGGGAAATCTTGAAAAGTAAAAAAGTATAAAACAGACCATTGAGGACCAGATATCCTGATACTTTTTCTCGCGTATCTTCTAGCAAAAATTTAGTAGTAGTAATGACAATTACATGCAATCCACATTACTAGCAGGCCACAAGTAAGCTAAAACTCCAAGGCAAAACAATTTACTTTTATCACAACCAAGTAATGATTTACCGACGACATAGAATGAGGACGATGGCTTTTTTAAATTTATCTACTGTTTCTTGATGGGAATTTGGTAAATACTTTGCAATGACATACCCATATAAAAGTTAGGACTTAGGATGTTGTTTTGTAAGTAGCTACTTGTGCCAAACCTATTATTTGTTAATAATATTTTTTGCTTGGTTCATAGAGTATCCTACTGACACTCCATTAGGAAACCAAACAAAGAATTAAGTGCAATGGAATTTAATACAAATTCACTTCTAACCTTCCATAAGAGAACGATTGCTTCTTTGTACTTAGGAATTTTAGGTAAGGATGCTGTAAGTAGCTACTTGTTCCAAACCCATTATTTGGTAATGAGATTTTTTGTTGGGTTAATCGCTGCATAGTATACCTAACTGCCAATCAGAAGATCGCCAGTTCAAAACTCCATCAGGTAAACAAACAAACAATTAAGTGTGGTGAAATTAAAAAAAAAATAAACTCTAGCCTTTCAGAATAGAACGATTACTTTTTTGAACTTTTCTATTGGGTATTAGTGGAAGTTTGGTAAGTACTTACTAACTATGACATGACCATTTTGTTGTTGCAAATAGATAGGCTTAATCCCACAATTGTTGTTTTTGTGTAAATATTGGTCATTTATTAGTGGATAACGATGGTAATTTTTGCCCTGGGGTACGGCAGGGAAAGTGGCACCAATCCTTATCAGATCCCTTGGTTTTTGTGTGGGGATATACTCCCTAGGAGATATTTGTTGAAAACTCCAATGACAAACATTTTTTTACCCAAGTGACGTCAGCTTAACAGAAGAGTAACCAAAAACGTTGAATTGAAGTAGAATTATTTTGACACTTTTTTTTTAATTCTTACAATCGCACTTATAACCATTTTCATCTCTTTCCACTTGGTAGATGTTCGATCGAAATTTGTTTGTTACGGCAAAAACACTTCGTCGACGGTGCCTCGTCTATTTTTAGAACAGTGTTTTTTTTTTTTTTGGTGGAGCAGCAAAAACCTTCCATTACCAATTACCAAATAATGGTTTTTCTAATCAATTGTTGATAATAGTAACTACTAACAAATGTCGCTCGAAATAAGTAGGAAAAACATTTACCCGATATTTGGAGTTAAAATCAGACCTGCAAATAACTTGCTCGATTTCGAGTAATGAGTAAAACTAGTTCTAAGTCGAGCAGAGCTCTTCTGGGAGTAAAAAAAACAAAACCAGCAAACTCTATTTTCGGTTTCACTAGAATAAAGACGATCATGTCTAGCTCGTTTTAGAGTAGGAGGAAAATTAGTTTGAAAACGAGCAGATTCACTCTTGCCGAGCACTTATTTTTTGGTTTTTGTCATATTGTTGTTGTATTTTTATGTGCACTTATTTCTTCAAACAACAGCAGAAAAACGAAAAAAATCTAAAAACTTTAAAAAGCATTGTCGCTTATCTGGGCCAACAAAACTATGATTGGGCGGTTGCGTTTGCTCGAAAAATCTACCGGTCCATGGCTTCTACTGTTGATCTTTTCTTCGATATTGTACAAGATCACCCCTCTCTCCCCCAGTTCACAGCTACATCAAAACCTGTTTGCTGTTACACACACTTAAATGCACAAATCAGTAAAGAAAACAATTATCCACTCAATTTCACTTTTAGAGCAAACTCTCACTCTATTTTGAGCGATTTTGCTTCCACCATCACTTTTCAAAGAAGAGTGACTCGGAAGCTCTCCCACACAAAACAAATGAGTGTAGAGTTAAATGCGTATAAAACTCCCACTCTTCGAGTAATTCCTCTCACCAATGTTCTATTTTTTCTCGTTTGCCTAGGCCGAGTCTTGAACCTTAAAATGTAGGTTTTGTGGTCTGACGATCATATTCTGTGCCGACGTTGCAAATTGTTTGACAAAGTGACAAAGTGAATACTTTTCATGAATCACCCATTATTTTCAAACCCCTAGTAATGCAGAAGTAGGGTATCTACATTACCTTGTGATAAGTAAGTCGTCTCAAATAGCTCCCAAATTTTTGCTGAGTATGCTTAAGTATTTAAGATTACTTTTTCAGTAAGATTGCCAAACTCTCAGTAACTCAACTATCAAAAATGTTTTCTTCGTTTACTATTTTTGGGCTATCAAACAAAAAGTATTAACAATTATTGGTTTATAATAGACAACTAATACAGAGAACATTTCACATATATATTTTGTTTCCGAATTTGTTTTGTTGCAATATTTGCTCTGTTCCAGAACCTGCAAAAACCTACCAGTTTTGCAATTTGTTATCGATATCATAAAAGAAAAATCGGTTATCTTAGAAAAAACTTTTACATTCTTGCAATTCTGGAACAGGGAAATACATTTACATTTCTTTTTTACATTTTACAAAAGAGAATTTTGAAGAAATTCCGAATTCTTCTTCGTCGTAGTATTATTCTAGGAAAGCTATTCAATAATAAATCCTAAAAGGAATCTTTACTTTTGCTAAAGTATTTTTGCACTTAACCCTTTAGGAATACATGGTTATATTCTCCCGACACTTGACGTAACGAGATTCTTGAGATGTTTCCAATACCTGTCTGTTGTTGTAAATGCAACAATTATTGCATTTCCAAACCGGTACGGGATGATGTTGAAATATCACTGCCGTATGAGGTATTCAAGCTGTTGTTGGCCGCCACTACGTAGGCCAAAGAACTGGGTGGTGTATTGCCCATTGCATTAGCGTTCATGCCGTTTGTGTGTTTCATATTGGGCGGTGTTTGGGGTGGGGTATCTGGTTGAATTTCAGGAAACCCCAAGCGCTGTTGTTGTTGCTGCTGATGCTGCTGGTGAAGATTCTGACTGCCTGAGGAATTGTAGTGTTGTTGCTGTTGCTGCACAGACGTCGCCGCTGACATATGCATCATATTGGAGGCAGGTGAGACTGATGTATTCATTTGTGGATAATTAACACCAGAGGCTCCACCATAACCAGCTGCGGGAGGCAGTCGTCCATAGGGCGAAGCATTGACATAATTACTCATCATAGAAAGTGGCGAATTATTTGATAATTGATTATTTATATTCAAGTTATTTGAATAGTAGGCAGAAGCTTGAGATTGTTGTTGTTGCTGTATGTGATGCTGAGGTGATTGCCCACTGCCGAGGTGATAGCCAGATGTGGGCGGTGGTGTTTTATTGGCTACTGTATCAGCTACGCTCCATATTTTTGGTTTTGTGGCTGGTATTGGTATACCACATTCATCTCGACTAGCGTAACCTTGTTGTTGTAAAAGCTGTTGTTGTTGCTGCTGCTGGTGTTGTTGATAATAAAGGCTTTGGCTATGAGGATTATGGTGACTTTGGTAGGGATGATAGGCATTGGGATGATGCCCACCAGAAACCGCTGTACTCTGACCACTGCCGTACAACGATGCTGTGTTATAATTTTCCATTTGTCTTGAGGCAGTTAAATTTTCTGGTTTTCTATCATCTTCATCGTCATGCTTTAAATCGTTATGCTTACCATTGTTGCTACTGTGGTCGTTGCTCTTAAGCTGGTCATGGTCTGGAAATGAAATTAATAAAAAGCACACAAAAACGGAAATTACAAATTATGTAAAAACACAGAGAATAAAAAATTGAAAAATCTTCCAATGTTTTTCTTTTTATCCTTTAAGACTAAGCCCACCCTCAGAATCTTTTATGCTTTCTTTTTTCCTATGATCCATGTTAAGCCCAGCCAACTTCCGTTCAAAGAATGTTTTATGTTTTCATTTGAGAGAAAGGCGTTTATGCCACTTATTTAATTTGTTATATGAAGGTTTTTGGCTTTGGTGGCTTTGGAGTAATCCTAGAGAGAAAATGCTTAGGTGCTCCTCGCAAACCCAAGTGTTGGGTGGACATTTTAATTTTAATTATATTTTTGATTTTACACAAAAGTCATGGACCCAGCGAAATTAAATTGAATTAGTACAGAATAAATCAGTACTTTATCCCGTTTTTTTTTCGAAGCAGTCAGGAATAGACAGGGGCAAAAAAAAAGACGTGTCCTAGCCATCGTTCTTAAAAATTGTGACTTTTTCACTCGAAATTAAAATTAGGATTTTGCTGGTACACACATAAGTTAAGCTCTGTTGGGTTCCAGCCCCTCGCAAAATTTTTGGTGATTAAGCAACACATGAATTGATAAGACATGGATCCGAGTCAATGACATCGGGGTCGACAACTCGGTTAGACCACTTTTGTGAAACTTCTTCTGAGCGAAACATGAGCATTATTCATCAACAAAATTGGCTAGATCTAAGGGGTTGTAATGTCCCAAAAAAATTAGCCTACAATCTTCGGGAAGAGAATAAGCGCTCTGACAACGAACAAGAAGTCTCCGAGTGAAGCAATCGCCCTAAAACTACTGTGCGTCCATTTTACCTAACCTAACGATGAGAAATCCCTAAATTTGATTATATTTATTGGTTCTTCTTAAGAATTTTTGTAAGAGTTATGTGGTATACGCGAAGCCATTTAGAAGAGGGTCCAATTTTAAAATTCCTCTTTCGCCTCACCAAGTAAAATATTAGTTTTTTAATCATAACTTTTAAATATTAGAGATCTGGTGTATACTACCGTGATTTAGATATATCCGGCTTTGATCCCTCCACACCGTGTTTTACTTATTTTTGTATTTTTTACTTATTTAACCATGAAAATTTTGCTCAACCTACCTTTATGCATTTGTTGGCTATACAAAGACGCAGTACCGGAATTTCCACTCCCCATTTTATTTAAATCAACTTCCTTGTCCACTTCTTTTTCATCGTCGGACAACATGGCATCGTCATCATCATCTTCGGTGCGATTCTTTGGTTCCCAAGTCATTTTGTTTTCCTTCTTCAAGCGACGACGGGCATTGGCGAACCAAGTAGAGACCTGTGTAAGTGTCATTTTAGTGATGATGGCCAACATGATTTTTTCACCTTTAGTGGGATAGGGGTTCTTTTTGTGTTCGTTTAACCAGGCCTTCAAAGTGGCAGTAGATTCGCGGGTGGCGTTTTTGCGGCGGGAAGCCAAGTCATAAGAGGCACCATATCTGAAATTAAGAAAACGTAACAAAAAATAATTAATAATCTCAAAGATTTAAGTAAGCGTTCCAGTTAGAAAATATTTGCTTTTCTTTTCCTTTTTTACTTCTCTTAACAATTTATCTACAAAAGTGTTCAGTGTAAAGAACTTCTCACTTACCAACAAGCACTTGTTGATTTTCTTTTATCACAAAGTAAGAGGACGAAAAGTGTGAAAAACCCCCCAAAGAAATAAAGTGGTTTATAGCTTTCTTATGCTGAATAAAGGAAGAAAGGCTAAATAGCAGTTGCTGTGGTGGTAGTCAATAGAGATGCTTGTCTGCTTTCTTGGCGTGTGTGTGAGAGTGTTGTGAAAACCATAATAGCCCAAGGGGAGCAATTTTATTCAATAATATTTTATATCTGAGAATTGTTAGTAAGGATTGGTTGGACAAAAAAAATATTTTTTTTTGTATGATGTCGTAAAAGTTTTTCTCTTTAGAGAAGCTTTTTTTCTTTTCTTTTTTTTTTTTTTTTGAAGAAAAAAAACACCTCCTCGTATTGTGAGTGTAGCAGACGCTCAAAATTATCTTTGAAATAAATCATTTGACATTGTCCAACAAAGCCCCTCCCAATTATTTTTTATGAGCTGTTAAAAGATTTGTAGAAGTTTTAATGCTCGAAATTGATAAGATTTGTTTTTATGTATTTTTAATAAATATAATTCCCTTTAATAAATCTTTTTAATTTACATCGTTCGTTTATAATAAAACTTGACATCGTACTTACCCATATGCAAATGTTGGATCATATGAATAATAACCGGTTGTTGGTTGTAAACCAGCTGTAGACCAAGCGGCTGCTGCTGTCATTTCGGTGCCCGTTGTTGTTTCCTTGAGACTGTAGGGATTGCCCTGTAATGGAAAAATAATGGAAGAAAATTAATAAAATAATGAAAAAGCAATAACAATAACTCATAAAATTTTAAATTTTATTAAAAGTCTACATACTATGTTTTAGAGGTATCGCATAGTAGTATAATTTGTAAGGAATTTAGCCAAATTAAATTAATCTACAAAAACCGAAAGGTGAAATGCCAAATAAACGGAGAAATGCAAGGGTGTTGCAAAGTTATTGGGATTTATTGTGGACAAACAACTGTGTCGAGAGGTCTTAGATTATTTAAGATAAAGCTATTTCAAAATATGAAAATATAAATGAAACAAAAACAAGTAAACAAACAGTAAAAGTGAGGACACATACAACAAGTTTTAGTGGCTTAAGTCATCGGCTGGCTTCTTCGTAGAACACAAAGGAGCATAGGGTGAGCGAGTATAAATTATTGAATCATGTCAACAATAGAATCATGTCAACATACAGCTCTTTTGATCTTTTACGAAGAAGCCAGCCAATAAAAAAAGCCTTTTGTGCACTTGCACCTCAAGTTCGACCGGGCCCAACTCTGAATATCCTCCCCCATTTGGAAGGAATTTAAAAAAAAAATCGGTTGAAAATTCTGCTAAAATCATAAAACAATCGAATATAGGGAGGTATCGTTATGGGGGCTATACAAAGACCTGGACCAGCATATGCGGATTGTTGTCACAGACGGTAGTACCCATTAGGAACTTCAAATACGAACTTTTAAAAATTTTCCGTGAATAATATAGCTAAAATCATCGAAATACCGAATATAGTGAAATATCGTTCTATGGGGCCTATACGAAGACGTGAACCCGCATGGATTTCAATTTTCGTTTACAAGCTGTAGCACCCATTACGAACTTACAATTCAAAACTTGAAACATTCCCGGTAAAAATATGTGACACAAATTATCAAAATACCCAATATCCGTAGGTACAGTAATATAGGGACTATACCAAAACTTGGATCCATATAGACAGTTCTCTGCAAGAATGTTTCCTACACACTGGTAATACAAACTTTTAACTTACATCATATTCCGGGTAAAATTGTGACTTAAACAACCAAAAGACCATAAATCTGGCGGTACAGTTTTATGAGGTCAATACCAAAACGTGGACTTATATAGCCCATTTTCAATACTAAAAAGTCATGCAGACTTAAAACATATCTGGGTAAAATTTTATCAACCTACATTATTTCATTCGGAAGCTAGAGTGATTTCCACAGACGGACTGGAATCTCTAAAGCGACATACCATTTAACGTTGATTAAGAATATATATATACTTTGTGAGGTCTAAAATGTTCATGTCGAGGTGAAAGAAAAATGTAATATACCCTCCATACTTTGGTGGAGGGTATAACAAATAATTCGAGACAAATGTCGGAACTCCACAACATCAGAAATTGACTTTATTTCACATGGGTCACAGACAAATATTTCGAAATATTTCAACTATAGTGACAAAGTTAATACGAGGTGGTCCCTATGGCAATAAAAAAAATTGAGCAAAGTCTTGCATACCCGGCAAAAATGTTATTACCAATCAATGAGTTAAAAAAGCACTCGAAACTATTTAGCAAACTATTTTGCCTATTATCTCTTTTGAAAATAACTCATTACTTTTCAGGTCTGGTAATGCAGAGTTTATATAATGATCATTATTGCTGACCTATTAGTACTGCGGAGGGTATTTAGTTGCCATTACTAGTAAACCTGAAAGTGGCACAAATGACTAACAAATTTTCGCTGGGGACAAGCTTGTACAGCGCTAGTCATTGGTTTTAACATCATTACATAGTTTAAGCCTGTGACTGTACTTAGAATTTTCGCATCTTTCAAACAATATTCAAAATTTTAAACGCAAACCCTTGTCGGAATTTTATGTATAGATATTCAGGAGCATCGAAATTGTGACGTATGATTTCCAAGGAAAGTTATTAAAAATCGAAACAAAAATAAAGCACTAAACATCTGAGGACCCTTTGTTTATAAATTATTAAATCGATCATTTAATTGACAAATGCACTATTGCCAACAAGCATTTTCATTTGTTTTTATTTTTTTCGTTTCTCTCTCTCTCTCTCTTTCTATAAATATTGGTACGTTCTCTATCTCCAATTTCAAATACTATTTGTTGTTTTACATAAGAACCTTTTAATTTTATTACTATTGGCCATGTTTAACACATGTACGAACATCTCAATAAATGTTGTTTTTTTGTCGTTGTTGTTGTTGTTTTATACTTCAATAGCGCCCCGTATAACAATAACCAATAACAACATCAGCAATACCAACAAGTTAACTATAGTTAGTCATTGACGACGATTGACAAAGTCAAAAAGAGCAAAAAAGTACGACAAGAAAATAAAAAGAGAAAAAAGAATCACAGCGCCATAACCCCTCCTGGTATATTTCCGGCCGTGCTTGCGATGCTAGCAAATGGTAAGTACTTGCAAAACGAACAATACCATAACACCTCCTTCTCCTTGGTTTTGTCGTTGTTGTTGTTTTCTTTGCCTCTGTAATGGTATTGACAGCAAACACCAAACAGTGACAACAAAACCGCCAACCAGCCATTATGGCATAGAATGTGTTTTTATTTAGAATTTATTTAAAAATATTCAACCATTGTTCGCGTAGTCTTTGGACGATTCCCATGGCATCCCATTTTAGTGAATTGCAATAACGTCATCGACGAGACAATAAATGTCCTCCTTCTCTCTCTCCCCAAAAAAATATTCTGGAAGTGTGTATTGTCACATCAACACTCAAGTGTATACAAATAACAAACAACACTTTTATGGCACGAGGGTGTAGTGAGCCGATGATGCCTCCATTTGCCTCCCCTTTCTCCAATCGCCTTCAAAACTTGGTTTTGAGTTACTTGTCATTGAAATGAACTAAAATATGCACCCTGATGCAGTTTTTGATAGATTTTTAAAGTTTTGCTTTTTTCTCTCGATATAAAACGTATATACATTGATTTATAATAAAATATTTTATGAATTTTGTTATATTTTTTTTTTGCTACATTCATTTGTTATTATTTTTGTTATATTTTTGCCAAAAAACTTTTTTCCATTATCACAAATGCTTGTTTTGCAATTAACGAAGTTAAAAGACCTCTGTTGAATATTTCATTAAAAATTTCAGCGAAGCTTGACAAAAATATTGGTAGATTGCACCACACAAATAGTAAAATATTACGTAAAACCAGACAGGAAACAAAAACAAAGATTTATTTGACAAATAAAATTACCACCAGTGCAGTAATTTCAACCCGGCCTCATATTGGGGGTGTGTAGAGGGATACGTATTCACATGTTGGTTGGACAACATATTTTCAGAAAAAAGACAACAGACTGACGTCTGATTCCACTGTGGAATATGTGAATACAATGTACAAAAACATAGAGAGCCCAATGCCGAAAATGTGAAAATTTCGATATAATGTTTCGAAATATTTTTGAATTTGAGAATTCAATTTTCATTTCGAATTATTTAAACTATTAATCTAATCATCCGATTTACAAAATCGGATCATTTAAGAAAACACGATAAAATAAATACCATCCATTTATGGTAAGGTTTACGAAATTTACTGGTATAATGAAACACTGTAATTGTACTTCGTAGCATTTCCTTCGAATTCGAATCTTTTCCATTTTTAATCGAATCATTTTATCTGAAGTTCCAACGGAATACACAAAGCTTATGTGAATCAAGTAAAAACCCTCCACCATTTGGAGTCATTTGGAGAGTTTGTATCCATTGTCAAAACCAAATATCAACAAAATCATCCAAATACCGAATAAAGGCAGGTATCTTCATATGGGGTTTATACGAGGACCTGAATGATTTTTTTGTCATCGAAATCAAAACATCAAACTTGAAACAATTCTCTTGAAAAAAGTGACTGGACATATATAGTCCATTTTCTCACCTGACCTAACACTGATACAAATATTAGGATTTGCAAAGTTGGAGCAAAATCGGATTATCCTTTCGCTTTCAGTGCAGTAAAACATTTTTCGGAAAATTGTGACCTTTTGTTGGGGGAGGTACCAAAAGGAGCCCGATATTAGCTATCTCAGAACTCGACCTAAGTTTGATAATAATATTACACTGTACCAAGTTTGGACCAAATCGGATACTCCCTTCGAGAGTTATCGTGCGCACCAGCCAGCAGATAGACATTGCTAGATCGACTCCAAATGTCCTGAAACGGATTTGGTCCAAAGAGACCTAGGGTGATGATGTAGCCGTATGGCTGAGGGTACTAAAATCGTATTCGCAGTCGAATCTGTTGAAGTTTTTAACAATGCGCAGGGTGCAGTATAGTCAATATTCGATCGATTCCGCATGAAAAATCGATCGACGCCGAAAGCGGTTGTCGAAATTTCGTAAAATTTAATACTTGTTTTTCTTCCAGAAGAAGTGTTATTCCACAAAATCTTATCCTCTTGAAAATACTGGAATTGCTCATTTTGCTAATACGCATTGATCATCATTTCAACAGCTAGACATTTTCGATTGAATTACATTGTAACTGTCGAATTGTTAATTGGACTAGTGTATCTTCACACACACGCACATACCTTATTACACACACACACATACATGCAGGCCCATATACTACACATTATTATTTGCATACGCAAAATACCGGCCATCCAATGGAAGTAAAACAAAATGATAAAGGTCTAAAGCCTGTTTTTGGCCATGTCACTGTGGTTATCATTATTAGTGTCTACTCATTAAGATAGCCGGGCAAAAGATTGCGGTTGTCCGTGGTCGTTGTTGTTGTTATTATTATTGTTGTGCATGGTCATGTCATGGCCATACAACAAATATCCTTTTCGGCCAAATGCGAATTGACAGTGTTTTTTAGATTCGAAAATCATGTTGAAAATAGTAGCCGAAATAATAAAGCTAAATTAAGAGAGAGAGAGAGGGAGTGAGATAACTGGTATTAAAGAAAAGAAGGATTTTTAGCAAAAAAATATAGAATAAAGTCGAACTACCGGACAATGAAAAAAATTTGGAAGATAATTTGTGTTATAGATGTTAATTTGAAACAGCTCTGCTCAACAAAATGTGATAGCGCATTTGTCGGGAAAAGGGACAATAAAAGATAAAATATTTTACAATTGCATTGTTTTACATTTCAACTGTTCCATTCAATTATGGAATTGCGCAAATTATAAATAAAGCAAATTTTTTAAATAAATACATAAATAAGTTCTAAACACCGATTTTTTGATGATTCAAAAAAGTTAAGAGAAATTGGATTAGAGAGAAAGCTCTTACATATTTATGTATATTTATTATACCCTACAACACTATGTGTTGGGGGTATTATAAGTTTGATTGGGCCAGAATTTATGTAACACCTCGAAATATTGGTTTCCCATATAGGAAAGTATATATGGATCTTCCTAGCTCGCCGAGCTGAGTCGATCTAGCTATGTATGTCCGCCTGTCCGTCTGTCCGTCTGTCCATGTTAATTTGTAATCACTCTACAGGTCGCAATTATGGCCCGATCTTTAGAATGTAGGTGGGGTTAAGGTCAGAATAGAACCCTATTTCTTTTGGAGATGATCGCATAATATTTAGGGGTTGAAATGGACCAAAAACTAGAAAAATTCCTGATTTTGCAGTTGCTCTACAGGTCGCAATTATAGACCAATCGACGCGGAATTGCGCATGTAGCTAGAGTTTAGGGCCATATCTTTTGTGTTGAAAAAAATCAAAATTTTTCATTAAACCGCGAATATTTTAAATCCCGGCGAAATCAAAAGCCATGACAAGGTTACCTCTGATCTTTACATTGAATGATCTTTACGTAAATATGTGCGATATATATGTCTATCAAAGAAGATATGCTTGAAAGATCTCCTATATGTCGAGAACGGCTGAACTGATTTCGACAGTTCTCATTAATTCAGAATGGCCTCTTGGCAGGAAAGAAAAGACGTGTAAAAAAAAATTGCATAAAAATATCTCTGTAAAGATGAAAATATTGGTTTTGTAATATTTTCTCATATTTTTTCAATTTTGTCATATTTTTGGCATATTTTCATTTTGAATTAAACATTTGGTAATATTTCTACAGCTAACAAAACTAAGTAGTTAGGATATCAGGATATCATATACAGATCGCATTTATGGCCCGATCCTTATGAAATTTTGCATGGGGATCAGATGAGGGTCAGAATAGAAGCCTACTCTTTTTGGAGATAATCGCCATATATTTAGGGGTTGAAATGGACAAAAAAACTGCAAAATTTTCAGCAAGTCTTAATTATCGCCCGATCGCATTTGAATGGAGGTTACCGGACATTGCAAAAGCCAAATAGTTTTGGATGGCCATCCAAAAATATTCAATGTGTGAAATAGTTTGCCAACTTTTGTAGACAAAATACGAAAATATCCATTCCAGTGTCTTTTTGGAGAATTCACAAATACAGAAAAGACGCACTTCTGACTATTTCGTTAAGGCTGATTTCGTTGAAGAATATAGTCAAATGTCTGTATCTCACATAGATGCGTTTAAGTCAAAAACCAATAATAAATGTTAATCTTTTGCCACTTCTGAGAGATTATAGGTCTTTGGGAAATATTGGTTCCAGATCTAGGAAGACCATTTACGTGCAACATCTACCAATAAATTGGAAATGAGCAAATTCGTTTAAGTTGCTATTATTCGAAAATTAGAGAACGAAACCTGATGGTTTTCTTTTATTATTTGTCACAATATCTTGTGGAATTCTTTCGAGTATATGGCCTATATAAACTGTATCATTTATTATAGTGTTGTAGGGTATTCAACGGTCGGCCCCGCTCGTCTGTAGCCTTTGCTTACTTGTTTTAATAAGTGTTTTATTAACTATTTTGCACAACATTCATGGTTAGAACAGAATATTAAAATGTATAAAAAAATAATTTTTCTTATCTCTTTTTTCGAAATGATTATAAACAGGGCAGATGTAATCCCAACTCTCACCAGTGTTCATTGAGAAACAAAGTTATGGGATCGATTACATACATATCATTGTCAAATTGAATTATAATAATTTTATATATTTTTTTATAATTTATTTTTTATAATTTATAATTTTATGATTGTTGGCGAAACTGTATTACTTAAATTTCAATTTGATATTTAAAATGTAATAACATATCAACGAATTCCCACTTACCAATGGCGTATAAAAAGCCGAACTGTCCACACCAATGCTGGGATATGGATTTTGATCCGTTGATGGATATGCTGTGCCATAAACACCAACTCCAGCTGTGGGCATTCGCGAGTAACTGGACAATGCTAAACGTGCTGAATCGTACTGACATGAGCATACAGTTTGTCCCGATACGGGATCTGTCATAATTGGTCGTCCATTTTCACAACAACCCCCACCAACACTACTGCTGCTGCCTCCCCCCATTGCTGAGCCTGTTGTGATCGAAAGATTACCGGCTGTCTGGAATGCATCTGCAAGGCTAACTGTGCTGCTATTGCTGCCGATGCCGCTATTGCCCACAAGCGCTGCAGCTGAGCCAGATTGTGTGGCTGGTGGTGGTGGTGGCGGCGGCACACTTCCCGCATTGTTTGTGGACGTTTGTGACATGGCACCGGGACTTAAAGGGCCATTGCCAGGCGATGATGCCGAAGACGAGGATGAACCTCCCGAGGGACTTAATGAGTTTTCATGTGATCCTCCCGACAGCGGTGAAGGCGCATTGTGTGACATAATTGATGATGATGATGTTTGGCCAACATTGCCGCTGCCAAGTAACTGCAATGAAAACAAACAAACACACATTCACTAAAAATTATGTATGCATGTGGATCACTGAAGAAGAAGAAGAAGAAAAAAAAACAACAGAATAAAAAAAGGAAACTAAAACTCTTTAGCAAACCGCCAAAAATATGTACACTGATGGTTGAAAGACAAGACCCAGGGCGGAATTTTTCAAACAGGTATCTTTAGTCCTACGCTCAAGTTAACTTGGTCAAGTATATTCAAGCGTATACTTGACTAGCACACCTACAATCAAACTCAATATGAAATGGGCCTATATATTTTCCATTCTGTTTACCTAAAGTAAACAACCCTCTTTGTGGAACCCTAAACAGAGAAAAAAGGTTCCTTGTGTGTGCTGCTCTTGGCGGTCTGTCTGTCCGTCCTTTATTTCTGTTCCATCTGTTTTGCTTGTATTGTTGTTGTTATTGTTTTCTTTTTTTTTTCGTTGTCTGTCCATTTACCTCCTCTTCTTTTAAAAGTCATTGAAGCAGATTAAGACGATAACTCCAAATGTCAAAATATTTTATTGGCTTTGGCGCAATTTGCGATCCGTTCCATCTATTTTCACTTCATTAATTTTCAATTTATCACTCGCTCAGATTTCTGATACGTTTGGTATATTCCGTATATTTACTTATAAGACAAACAATCGTTGGTTTGGTGGCTGGGTTCTTTTTTTTTGTGTCCCTTCCTTGCCGCCATCGATTCTTTTATTTCAAAATCTGATAGTTTTACTTGGAAAAGGGGTTTATGCTTTTAGGAACTTTTTTTGGAGTGGACTAAAATCCACATTTGATAGCCTTGAGCTGAGATAACTTAGCGAAAAACTCTTTTCAGAATGACTAATTTAGGAACATTCTTTGTTACAAATCTAATTGTGGCAATATGAAGAACAAAATAAATAAATATGTAAGTAAATAAGGTCGGAACTTTTATAAATAGACACTATTTGTATGGCAATACCAATTGCTATAGGAAATGCAAAAATCACTGCTTTCCACCGTCCACTATAGTACACCACTTTGAGGAAATCTTCAAAAGTAAAATATACACACTGGCAGTATAAATTAAATTTGAAGGTTCTGTCAATGACGTCTGCACCGAAACTATCATCAAATCGATGTTCGAAGGTGAAACTGACCATTAGGAAATCAGATAAACTGGGGGAATATGATTTATTAACATTCCATACTAAATTCATTAAAAATGATGGGGGGCGTGTATGATTCAGCCTCCTACTCAAATGAGGGGTTATATGACTTAAAACCGTTTGAAAATAGACCGCGCCAAAATATCAAAATTTAAATCTATAAAAATATAAATCTTGGTTGTAAATATAAATCTGAAGACGACAAAAAGCTCTAAGCCCCTAAAAAGAATGTGTATAAAGGACAAAAACGAGTGTGCGAATCGGATAAGGAAAAAATCTTGAATTTCCATAGAAGGACAGAAGATAATATTTTTTTTTTTTTTTTGATTGTTTCAATTATCAGGTGCCAAATTTTGGAAAAAATGTACCAGATCTGATCGCATGGGAAATACAAACTATCGAGAGGCTCACATTTTTGAGTAGCACATCCAATTGATATTCTTCATAGAGCCTTAATTAAGTCAGTTGCTGACATATCTACAAATAATCTACAAAAAATCTAGAGCAAAGTTTAAACCAGACCACAATGATCTTTTTGGCCAACTTATATCAACAACTGTAGCTTCCGAACGAAATGAAGTAGGTTGATAAAATTGTACTCAAATGTATATCATGTCTGCAGAAATTTTGGTATTGAAAATGGGCCATGTAGGCCAATTTTTCGGTATTGTGGATGATTTTAGCGACATTTTTCAACGGAATTGTTTCAAATTTGGTATCTGAATGGATATTATAGCTTATGATGATTTTAGCTACATTATTCAACGATGTTATGGCTTATAGAATTTTTAACGGATTTTATATTTTTGAAAATTTCCAAATTCGTTCCAAATGGTGGAAGATATTGAAGGTTCGCCCCGACGGAACATACATCTTTTTTACTTGTTTTATGATTTTCGTGTTCATTTGTGCCAAAAAAAACTTCGTCATGTTGGTGAACTTTCAAACGACCCTGCATTTCATATTTCATTTATTTTCATCTAATCCTTAATCAATAAAAGTAATATTAGTCCTTGAGTATGCCCTGCATACTAATGGTATCTTATTTTTGTGGCCCCAGTTTCGCCTGTACTGTGCTGTATCAATACTATAGGTAGGCAGAGATTCAAACTTTTATGTTCTCCTTATGTTTTTGCCCTCTGATTACATTGTTTATCAATGCTTATAACTATGTGTCTGGAGAGCATTTCGCTCTCAGAGATCGCGCGAACGTATTACATTATAATTTAACTTGGCTATCATACAAATTATGAGTAAAAAGTGAGTTCTGTCTGATCCAACTGGTTTAATTCCATCCTTAAAAAATAAAGAACAAAGCTACAAACAACTTCAACCTACCGCATAGAGCACTTATGTATCTTAAAAGTTGTTAAAAAAAGTTATGAGGTTTTTATTTGATTATTGAAAAAAAACGGCAGCCACTCCACTTTGTTCATTCAATAACGGAGCGAGGGGAGTTAACACTCAATGCTATCTAAATTGCTCTTGTTCGGCGTTGTTTCAATCCAAATAAAATATTTATAATAACACTTGTTGATTGTTCATTTCCAAAAAGGGAACGTTATTTGTTCTGTTTCCTACCAACTATGTATGTCTGTGTGTGCGCGCGTTTGTGTTTTGGTAAAATATTTGGTAGCGAATGAATAAAACAAACAATTCGATCAGATTAATTTCAGCCTTGCGATAAAGACACATTTACCCTTTTTTCTGATTAAACAATAATTCCTGTTATTGTTGCCTACAACAAAAGACAAAAGGTGTCGATATTGAGACCACTCCCTGTATTGCCAACGGGCACAGATTTTTGTTGGTGTGTTTTTTCTGAAATAATATACATTTATTATAATGGTTGTGTGATTTTGAGTTGCCTGACAATTGATTGCATGTGGTTTCACCATAATAATCTGTGCCGTATAATTTTGGTTATACCAATAATTTGGGGCGGCGGAAGGGAAGCTCCACGTTATTATAACTCAATTGAATAATCATTATTCAATATGTGTGTGTGCATAAATAAATTCTGCTCTAATCTGGTGGTTATGACTTGATAAACGATTTGCATTGATCACTACTGTTTAGTTATGGGTCAGTAGAGGCGGAGGGGATTGAAATGTGTGATAGCCAACCGAAATTATTGCACAAATTATAGAGCATATAAAGAAAGGAAACTTCTGTGTTTAAAGCGAAATACGTCTTATTTTAGAATTAAAAAAAATATTACTTAACTCATATTTTTCGTCAAATTCGCCAAAAATAAATTAAATCACCAGTTGCCATTTTTGGTAATTTTGACACACACATTTTAGTGAAACATTAGAAAATAAGGATTTATTGTTTATCTCATGGAAACCCATACGAATTTGCGCGTTACATGATTTGGAACAAATTTATTGCTTAATTAGGAATTTGTAACTGATTTTGAGGGTTAAACTTATGATATATTTACTTCTTCTTTTATCAAGTATAATTTCAGAATTTTATATTGATACCATTTATAATTGGTTATTGGTGACGAGCTATAAACAAGATGCTTCTATTTTTTTAGATTTTTTAATTTTTACTGCAAAACTTTGCTTAATTTCATTATAAACAACATATAAGCATTGAAAACCTATTTAGCGTAATATTTCACATTAATTTGTATTTAATTCCATAACACAGAACTTTAAAAACCTTCTTTCTCTGGCTTTTTGGTAAAAAGATGTATACAAACCGACCACCCATCCAAATTAAAGACAACACCAAGAAATCAATGAGAAAACCAAACTCCTGACGTAGCAAAACATGAAATATTTTAACCTCCCAAGCGTATATTTCACGCATTACATAGCGATATTAAATTGCTTGCATTCTCAGGCAAAACTTCCGAGACAAAAACAACGTGCTTTTATTGTCATTTTTTTTTTTAAACAATCATAATACTGTCATAGCCATATTCTATAAGTACTGCCAATTTATACGCATTATAAAGCGTCTTCAGGCATTCTACGCAAAGTCCACAATACTTTTGTTTCGTGGGCATTTTTTGTGAGTGTGTGTGTCGTATATTTCTTTCTTAATAAGACCAGACGCCAGTGCCACCAATAAAAGTTTATTCTTTTATTATTGTTGTTTTTTGCAGCCCTATCAAAAGTCCTTAACCAGCCTTAAGGTACAGCAAAAACATAAACGCCGCTAACTTTGTCCAAATATAGCGATGTAGAAAAAAAACAGCATTTCGGGTCTTCTCTTCCATTGGCTTTATTAAGCACCTTAAGTAGGTTAATAAAAAGAAGAATATGAAGAAAAAAATCAAAAAAGAACGAGGGTGGTCTGTAAATTGGAGTTAGTTAGTTTCTTTTAAAGTGTGATATTTGCTTCCAAGGAGGAGTATATATTTTTTTGATAACATCTAAAAACATGAACTGAAGAACTACCCTTTCCGACTAATCGAAAAGTATTTATCTATTTTTTGTGAAAAAATGTTGTAAAATATATATACCACATTATAAACCCCAAACATTAAATGCAGGTTATATTAATTTTATAATTTTTATTAACAACGCCAGAAAATTGAAGACCCCGAAGACAACATTTTTTCGATCACCATAAAATTCTAAACCGTTCACATATAGTGATCATAAATATCGCCATAAAATTCTAAATAATTTTAATAATGTCCGTTTGCATGTTGACATCAATATAGAGTTCACATTATTTTATATAGCGCTTTGAAATTTTAGCACCCCAACTGCCAAATGCCATAGTATGGAGAGTATATTAACTTTGTCATTCCGTTTGTAACACCTCGAGATATATATTTTAGCCTCCACAAAGTATATATATATATTCTGGATCAGCA